CCAACATGACTACTAACCAGAAGGAGGCCTTTAGTGCTGCCACTGTATCATACAAGTCCATTCACTCTCCTAGACGACTGTTTCACACCTCATCTCAAACCACCAAACTTCTCTCCATTCTAACTCTCTGTTCACAAAGAAAATAAAAACAACCAGGAAAGCATTTCTTAAGGTCCCACTATCATATCCAGCAACATTGTACCTCTGCTTCCATCATTTCTACCTTCCCCTCTGTTATGGATGAACAGTCCCTATGCCCAAGACCAGCCTCTCCAACCCACTGGATCCCATCCCTTTTCATATACTCAAGGACATGACTCCAACAATGTACCTTCTCTTTCCTCTAACATCACCCCCCAAACTGGGTCATTCCTATCCTCAGTTCAACAAACATGCTATAATATAGCCCATCTAAAACAAAACCGTGGGGATTCCAAACCCTTTCCTCCTCTCCCCATCCTATAGCTTCACTTTTCTCTGCTGCCCTTAAAGGAAAACCTCTAAGACCTGATTGTTTGCAATTTCTTTCTTCCCATTCTCTTTCTCTCTCTTCATATTTCTTTGCCCATATTTTACTTTGAAAAATTATGACCAGACCAAAAGAGAAGCTGAAAGAATAAATACTTTATAATACTTTTCACTTGAATCTGATTGTTTATAACTAACATTTTTCATATTTGTCCTATTTCCCTCTTTCTATAAATACCCACATACATATATACTACCTAAGTAACTACAGACATTATAACACTTTCCCCCCAAATACTTTAACATGTTATCTCCTAAGAACAAGGGTATCCTCTTCACAACCCACTACACTACACCCAGGAAACTGTAACAATGATTTGGTGTTATTTAATATGTGGTCCATATTCAAATTTTTCTAATTGTCCCAAAAATATCCTTTAGAGCAGTGCTTATTTTTCTTAACATAGGATCTAATTCAAATTCAAGCATTACTTTTGGTTGTGTGTCTTCAATTTCCCTTTCAATTCCACCTGCCTGGCTTTTGTCTGCCATGACACTGACATTTTCGGAGAGTCTGAATCAGCTAGCTGTCCTATAGAATGTTCCATGTTCTGGATTTGTCTGACCATTTTCTCAGGATTACATTAGAATACATTTTTTGGCAAGATCATTCATTACATAGGTGATTTATGAACATCATATTCAGTGCATATAATATCAGTTTGTCCCACTGTGATGTTACCGTTGACTATTTGGTTAAAATGACACATGCCAAGTCTTACCATGGTAAAGGTACCTTATAACCCTTGTAATTAAGCATTATGTGAGATGCTACTTTCAGATCATGTAACTATCCTGCTCCCCAATGGCCTTTCACCTAATGGATTTTAGCATCCACTTGCCTGAATCAAATTATTATAATGGTGATAGCAAAATAGTCAGGCCAGCCACAGTTATTTGCTGATATTATTTTTGAAGAACTTTCTATCTCATCCCACCACTCTGCTTGTTTTGTTTCTCACTACAGATTCACAGATTCTTTTTCTTATTCAATACAGGAGTGGGCAAAAGTAGGTTTACTGTTGTGAGTACACGAAACAGTTTATTCCTGTATTATTTAGTATTACTTATTTGTATCACGACTGTAAACCTACTCTTGCCAACCCATATGTATTGTAATTCATTACCATCACTATGTTTTTTAATGTTCCAATTGTCCTAATTTGATCAGTGGGAGCAAGCCCCTTCATACCAGTTCCTATGTCCTTTTGATATGTTTGTATCGGTTTTGTGCACTTCCTTGCTTTATGGCACAAGATCTGTTTCAGGCTCTTTTTATTTTCTTTGCCCCAGACTTCAAATCAGCCATTTTTCTAATGAGCCTTGGTCTGGGGTTCCTTTTAGTAAGTACTGGTATTTAGAAACCATGATCTGGATGCTAATAATGCTCATTGCTACTGAGTTATTCCTGCAAATCATTTTTTTAAAGATTTTACTTACTTTTTAGAAAGAGGACAAGGTATGGAGAAAAAGAGGGAGAGAAATGTTGATGCGAGAGAGAAACATCAATTGGTGCCTCCCACATATGCCTGATGGGGGGCCATGCCTGCAATCAAGGCACGTGCCCTGACCAGGACTCAAACCATGACCTTTTGCTTTGTGGAGTGATGCCTGACCAACTGAGCTACACCAGTCAGGGCTTTCCTGCAAATCTTTTGTACCCATTCACAAAAATCTTCCTTATTCTTTTTCTGATTAAACATTACTCTATTGTATACATATAACTTGTATAATCAACTAGTTTTCCATAGATAAGCATTTAGAGTATTTATAATATTTATAATTATTACAAATAATGTCATAATAAATAACTTTGCACATACTATTTCATATTTATGGAGATATACTTTTAGGTACATTCCAGTAAGTCTCACATTCTCTCTTGAATCTATTAAAGTCAGGCTTTTGCCCTTATTAACTTTTGTCAAGGTTACTGATGACCAACACATTGATAAATCCAATGGTCCACTACCCTCATCATACTTGGCCCCTCAGGAGCACTTGACAAAGCTAATTATTAGTTATTCCTGCTTCCTCACTACCACCAGCACTGCCCCCCCACCAACCGCACAACTAGCACCTACAACAAAAAAAGAAAAAAAAGTATTCCTGCTTTCTTAAATTGCTTTTTTAACTTGTATTCCAGGATACATAACTCTCTTTCTGCTCTGACATTCTCAGTCTTCTTTGCTAATTTACCTTACTTCTCTGATCCCTAAATGTTGTAATGGTCTTGGGCTCAGTCGTCAATCTTCCCTTTAATTTTCCCTCTCACTTCCTAGGAGACCTTCATGGGTTTACCTATGCTGGTAACTCCCCCAAATCAGCCTAAATCTCCCCAAATTCTAACCCATCTTTCCATCTCTTACTTTATTTGGTATAAAAGATAGCTCAAACTTCACAGGTCTAAAATCAAAACTATAATTTCTCTCCAAGTCAGCTCCTTACAGGGTTGTCCAACCTTTTGGCTTCTCTGAGCCACACTAAGAAGAGTTATCTTGGGCCACATGTTAAATACACTGCAACACATAATCACACACACACAAATCTCATGTTTTAACACAAAATTTACAATTTTGTGTTGGGCCACCTTCACAGCCATTCTGGGCTGCACGCAGCCTGTGGCTGGACACCCCTGTTACAGTCTTCCCATTTCTATAAAGGGCAACTCCATCCTTCCAGGTGCTCAGGTCAAAAATCATGGGATAATTCTTGACTTCTCTCTTTCACTTACACTTTATATATTAGTACACGAGCAAATATTTTTGACTATACCTTCAAAAGTTATATATATATATATAACTTTTATATATATATAAGTTATATAAAACTTATATACATATAAGTTATATGTTATATATATAACATAGAGAGAGAGAAATCTATCTATCTATCTATCTAGAGATACTGACACATGCCGTCTCTACCACTGCTAACCTCATCCAATGCACCTCATCCTCATCTGTGTCTAGATGAATTCAATAATTTACCTAACCCCTGTTTTCCCACCTTACCCCCACCTCTAGGCTATTCTTAATACAACTAGAGGGAACCACTAAAATAGAAGTTAGTTCACTCTACTCTTCTCCTAAATATTTCCCAATGGCTTCCCTTTTCACTCAGAATGAAAGCTGTAAGTCCTTACAACAGTCTCCAACACAATCTAGATCCTGGTCTCCTCTCAAACCTCATCTGCAACTGCTGTTCTCCCATCTTTCACTCGGTGTTCGTTAAACATGCACATCCAGAAGTGCACTACCAATTCTGGATTTTTGCACTTTGCTGTTTCCTCTGCCTAGAGTACTCATTCCTAGCTATCCACATCTTCCTTACTTCCTCAGGGTCTTTGTTTACAGTTGGGAACACTGCATAGAAGAGGGAAGGAGACAGAGGATCTACCAGCTTCTTAAACAGCTTTCATCTGATGCTCCTTATTTTAGCACCACCCTTTCACCTCTAAAATCCAGAGCTTTGAAAAATCTGAAACACAGATTGGGTTGGTTCCCAGTTTTCCTGACTACTGTTTTAGAATTAGGTTATTTTTGGTCTTCTAGTTGCCACTCATCCATCTGCTTTCAAACTTCCAAAAATGTACAGCTATATTCTCCTCTCCTATCTGCCTGATTCTTGTGAGCTTACAATGTAAAGCAAACAAACATTAAAAACCTCTTGACTATGCTTTCAGTTGGGGTTTGGGAGGGGATAAAATGTGGTATGTACGTCATTTTGTCATCTTAAAGTGGACATTTTAATCTATTTGATTAAAAAAAACATACTTATAGAGGTTGAAGAGGATATAAGGAGGATGTAATGGAAAAACATACAATAAAAAAAACCCTTATACCATAAGGCACTTTCAGAAGGGCAAAACACTTTATAAACAAAAAAGCACTACAAACTTTAAAAAGAATTTTAAAAATCATAAATATAAAAAACTAATATTTTGAGGTTTGTTCTAATCTTAGTTTTCAAATACGCAGACTATTCTTTTTTAATGTATTTGGAATTTCATAAAAACAACAGAATACTATCAGTGAACCAGTTTGTACTATTTGTGATAGTTTGGAATATCTGTGATTCCAATTTATTTGGTGATACAGGGGAACCCCCCCAAATTTTTGGAAGAGTAGAACCCCAATCATTAAAGAAAAAGTAACCAAATTCCATTTATTACAAACAACATTCTTGGGAAACCCTTTAAAATCTTAAGTACCATATATATTATGGAGCTGTAATTATAGAAAAATAAATAAAACACTGGTCTTTCCCACTCATCTAGGGTTAAGGTCTAATTTGCTAGCAGAGAAAGAGGCAATTACAGAGCATATCTTTCTATACTATTAGATAAAGCAAATGGAAAGTGTGTATCAAGGAAAACAACAATTATAAACAACATAGTTATCACAAATACGCTCTTATCATTGTTGTTATAGCAATCTTCTACAAACTTGGCAATTGAAAACAAAACTTACCTGTCTAAGAATATATCTGGGAGTGGTGGATAGGTCTGCATGTCAGGCACTCGCTCATGGACTATAACCATAACGAAAGATGTAAATCCAAATACTATAAAAACATATATACAACTTAATATGGTCTTCCAGTACTCTGGGTCCAGTCTTCGAACAGAATGTTTGTTTTTACCGTTCATGTACTGGTACTGATCAGAATTCAAATCAGCAATGGGTCCATCACAGTCATGCGAAGGCTCCCCATTACACAGCCACTCTGCGTTCTGAAGAGCACTGATGAAAGGGGTCATGGAACTCATGGGGCTGTCACTGTTGTATCCCATCTCTTCTAAAACATCAATATGTATTTTCTGCAATTTTCGGACAGAAAGCATTAACCGTTTAATGTCCCCTAAGACTTTGATTTCCAGAGGAGGAGACCGGAGATCATATTCAGTCAACGTTAGCAATGTGACTCCATCAAGTCGGTGCTTATTGCACAATATGTCCACATATTCAAAGAAGCCTTCATCCCTCAGCCACACAGCTACATGCTTGGTAGTCCAGCGGCGAATGCAGAGTTGATTAGGACCAGCCATTTCCTTCTCCACTGTCTGTCAAGGGACGACAGGAAAACAAAACAAAAATTTCAGTGTGTCCTAACAACTCCCGGAAAAAACAAATAAACATAAACATACCAGAAACAGTAATATACCTATGCTTGCCCTATCGGCTTCTAGAAGAGAGTAAAAAACAACTATTATTCAGTGGTGAGTTTTCAATAGATTAACATTCTAGTAATTTTATGCCCATAACACCAGTGGCAGAAAGAAGACTGATGACCAAACATTTTTACAAAACATTCTTTTCCAAATAGCTCTTCTACACCATAGCTAGCACCCATAATTTAATTAGATAAAGCCTACTGTTGAGATCAATGGGGGAAAAATCCCATTTTAATATTTTTCATAAAATGACACACACACACACACACATATAGAAAGATTTGTTATATGTAAAAATAAAATTTCAGAAAGCTTTATGTTCATGGATTATCTGCCCCTCCTCCAAAAAGAAAAGGCAATACTACAAAGACAGACAGATTTCAGAAAACTCCTATATCAAGCATATTTCAATGGACTTTACAAATAACAATTTCTAACAGACATAAAGCTTTTAAACTAGATATAAAGATCTACAAATATCTTATTAGCCCAGTTCTTTCTGTACTTTGAATATTTCATTATAAAACTAAGTAAGGAATTTCCTTCTTAAACTATCACTGAGATTTTAATGATAAAAATTTTAAAACAAAACTGTCATTTCAATGTACCCATAAATATGAGGACCCAGTTTTATATGGCAAATTATAAAAGGCTAACAATGTACTATTCCAAAAAGTAGAAATAATTTTTACTACTTTGCCCCACAGAGCACTGTTTATGTTCTTTTTCCATTTTAAAACTTTCAGTTACTTGGGCCAGTATCAGGTTTATAAACTTTCTCAGATACACAGGAGACAAAGGCCTACATGTAAAAAAAACTATTTCCCTCAAGTACTTTCTCAACTACTAAAGCCTGTTGGTTTTCTGACATTTTTCAGAGCTCTCAAAACCATATTCCCTTCTGAGATAATTTTTATAAAACATATTAGTCAACCTTTAAACTATTTCAAAAAAAAAAAAGACTTATACAACAAACACCCATGTGCCTACTACACTGCCTGAAAAAAATCAAACGGATCCAATACAAATGTTCTGTTTTTCAACCTGGGTGTCAGTCTACAGGTATATTCATTTTGGGAAAATTCATCAAGCTAGATACTTATGCTCTATTCTACACTTTTCTCTCTATATATTAAATTGTATTTAAAAAGTTTACTTTTAAAACCAAAACAAACATCAATACAAGTGAATGGCCTTCCCTCATAGCATCTCCTTCCTCTCCTCCCAGATGTAATAATTACTGATTTTGGTGTTTACCATTCCCGTATAACTTGCATTTTGGGCTATGAAAAAGCTTCCATGCTTCCTTAGGCTGTGAGGAAAAGTAAAAAGCTGCTACTGTTCTTCATTCTCTCCCTATCCAAACAAACTCTTGCCATTAAGACATAATCACTTGAAAAAGGCAGATACTTAACTACATGAGCACCACTTACACCATCAAAAATATTTGGCAAACAAGAAATACTCTCATTTAATATTTATTTCTTAATTACTAAAAAGCAACCCTAGTTCTTGGAAGCCTTAAATCGTACTTTGTTTTCAAACAGAGCTTTTAATACTATCAATAAACAATAACTTTTCAGTCTTAGAAAATTCACAGCACAGCCATCTTTAGCTTATCTGCATGTTTTAAAAGGCTGTCTAATTCTTATACCGGAGAACTAAAAAAAAAAACCCTCTTACTCAACTCTTTTTTTAGCTATAGCATATAATCACCACCCTAAAGGCCAAAGAATTATGATTTATTCACTTTAACACATGGAATTTATACACACTAATGCATATCATTAATTATATAAATATATGATTCCATTAACATAGGATTTCACTATGCTTTAGTTCATCTACACAGCCAGATGGTTTCATCCTACCCACTATAGACATATCTTTTCCCTAAGGTATGCTCTGAATAAATTACTTCATCCTTGAATATCCAACAAACACAACCTACAAACTCTGCAGCAGTTACAATGGAGCAAATTTGAGAAGTTTATCTCACAAAACAAGGTCCAACTTCTGTCATTTTACTTCTATTTTGCTACCTTTCCCCTTTCTCCAACAGCTTACCACAGATGGATTCCAAGTCACTCCCATCCTTATTGCATTATTCTCCAGTACGGTTTGTATCAGAGACTGCTCCAAACAATCTTCTACTTCATTATTTTCCTGTCTTATTTCACCAGTTATTCACACTCTCAATCAGACTAACAAACAGGCTTTGATGGTAGTGTGTTAGCTGCTAGAAAATGAATTATCATACAGGAAGTCTCCTGGAAGTCTGTGAGCCTGCCGTGGCCATGCCCTCAAAACATGATGCAGTCCACTGTTAGGCTTCATCAGGTTAGGGCGTGTCCTTTAATTGCAGGCTACTACATATAGTTAGGGGCCCACATTTAGCTAAACACCATGAAAACCTGCATTGAAGAGGTACCTTAAAAACTGAGAGAAGGCTTTAGGGCCAATTTAATATTTATGTTGTGCCATAAAAACTACAGGAAACAGGAGATTTTGAAACAATGAATATGACAGCAAATTCACAAAATGAAGAATGTTTAAGAACACTTTTAGCTTTAACCAATAATTAATATGAATCGATTATCAGTTAAGATTTCTGCTTCTAACCAAAACGTACCACGAGGAACCAGATTTACCCTCCCATCTGAAACAACCAAAAAATAGACAAAATACATGAGGGCGGTGAACAATTTCAAGACCCTGGGCATCAGACAACAAAGGAGATCCCGGAGAGGCAGGTGCAGGTGAGCCTTACTACCTTGAGAGCTTTCAGGTGGCACCTGCCAGAAACAGGATGAGGCCCGGCCACTCACTAGGTTGAGAAGCTAGACCTAAGAGTCTGAAGAGATCAAGGTGGCTAGTGTTCATGGGACAGAATACTAAAGAGGAGAAAGATGCACAGACAGAGAACTTGTTATGGACTGAATGTCTGTGTCCCTCCCCCCAAAATTCAAGTTGAAATCCTCACCCCCAGTGGGATGGTATTAGGAGGTGACTAAGTTATGGGGGCAGAACCCTCATGAATGGAATCAGTGCCCCTATAAGAGATACCCCAGAGAGTTCTCACCCCTTCGGCCCTGTGAAGATAGAAGAGGACTATTTATAAGCCACAAGTGGGACTTCACTAGACACAAAATCTGCTGGCATTTTGATCTTGGACTCAGCCTCCAGAACTATGAGAAATAAATGTGTGTTTTTTTAGCAACCCATGGCATTTTTTTTTACAGCAGCCTGAAGAGACTAAGATGGAACTCCAGAGATCTGCAGAATGACTCCTTTGAACATGAAGCTGAATACTGACCAGTGCATATATGTGAGGAAATCGAACAAGAATGAAAAAAGAACCATCCAGAAAGATTACAGAGAACAGTGTGTTTTACTCACACAAGGCCAATAAAAGTGCCTACTACAAACAGACTGAAAAAATTTTTTCATGATTCATAAGGCATAGGGCAGAGTAATATAGGAAGACCTTGTCATAGTGCTAAGGCAAAATTAACCCTAAAACAGTAATTCTCAATAAGGGGGCAGGGGCAGCTTGCCAAAAACCATACTGCAGGTTCTGGAGACATTTTTGGTTGTCACAACTTCAGGGGTTCATCTAAAGAGTAGAGGCTAGGAATGCTGTTAAACATTCTACTATGCACAGTGCAGCCCCTCACAAAAAAAGAATTATCTGACCCAAAATGTTGTAGTGCTGATATTAAGAAACCCTGACCTAGACTCACATCTCTAATACAGCTGAAAAAAATTTAAAAGCAAGACCCAAAAGGATCAAATTGTTTTTAAGAAACTTAACTACATTCCACAACAAGAACATTAGTAAGAATAAAAAGTACTCAGCACCCAACAGGTAAAATTCATAATGTCTAGCATCCAATCAAAGATCATCAGGCATGGCCTTGGCCAGTGTGGCTCAGTTAGTTGGAGCATTGTCCCGTAACCAAAAGGTTGTGGGTTCGATTCCTGGTCAGGGCACATTTCTGGGTTGTGGGTTTCATCCCTGGTCCACGCAAGTACAAGAGACAACCAATAGATGCTTCTTTCTTGCATTGATGTTTCTCTCTTGCTTCCTCTCTCTCTAAAAGCAATGATAAAATGTCCTCAGGTGAGGATAAAAAAAGATGATCAGGCATGAAGTAGAAAAATTTACCTCATGATAAGTAGAAAATCAATATAAATTAATCTAGATAACAGAAGAAGGAAACTCTGTAGATTAAGTGACAATATATATGATGAAACACACACTCAACAGGATTAATACTTGATTAGACATTGCAGAAGATAAGAATAATAAAATTGAAGACATAACAATAGAAATAGTACAAATGAAATGCAAGGAGAGATTTTTAAAAAATGAAGAGAATATTATTCTGCCTTTCATAGGAACTGTGAAGACAGTGTGCTAACTAAAATAAGCCAGATACAAAGGACAAATATTGTATGATTCCCATAGATGAGGTACTTAGAGTAGTTAAATTCATAGTTATGAGAAGTAGAATGGTGGTTTCCAGGGACTGGAGGTGGGAAACAATGGGAGTTATTATTTAATGGGTACAGAGTTTCCATTTGGGATGATGAAAAAGTTCTAAAATAGGACGGCTGTGATAACTGCACAATATGAATATACTTAACGCCACTGAGCTTAAAAATGGTTAAAATAAGTTTGTTTTGTTTATTTTACCATAACAAAAAAATGAAAAGAACATCAGTGATAGGTGAGATTGCCACAGTCTGGCCGCAGCAGGGTCCAGGGTTTTCCGAAAGGTGGGTGAGGCGTTGGCAATGGGTAACAGAAGACAACACGACTCAAAGGACAGTGAAGCTCTGTTCCATTTATTGCAAGTACAAGCAGATTTTTACATTTTCATTTT